AGGGTGGGGTTGCCAAAATCCCACTGTCCTTATTCTTATATAAAGTCGGCTCTTAAGGGAAGGCAAAACAGAATTTGGAGATATCAACACGCCTGCTAGGTTTATCTGGCACCACTTTCCTCTGTGCTTCACTTCCCTGTTTTCCTCCCTACCTTTCCCTGAGAGGCTGACTTAACTAGCAAAAACTCTGCATAGCAAAACTAGCAAAAAAGTTACATGCTTTACAAAAAAGTAGAGCAATTAACCTTTTATTGCTATAAAAAGGAGAAAAGAAAAAGTGTGTTCTTTAATTGCATCTAAGAGAGCTGGAACTAGGCAAAAAGTTCAGTGATTCCTATAAAAATCTCCTGATGTGAAAGGGAAGAACAGAAAGGAACATGTTTTGGGAGAAGAAGGAAAACTAGCATTAAGTTCTCCAGAAACTTTAATTAAAGAGGCTATAGGTTTTTGATGGTTCACTGCTTGCCCTAGGATCCTAACAATTAAAAATATTTGAAAGTCAGTATTGCTTAAATATCACTTAAATATGTCAGACAATTGGAAAAAAAATTGACATACCAGGCCTTCTTATTTCATCAAAACTAAATGACAGTGTTATACCTCTGGTTTGCTGTCCACAACATCCACTTCAATATTGACTTCTGCCTGGAGAATTTTCTGCTTTGTTTGTTCAACTGCCAGACTCAGTTTATTGATGTAAGACTGAAGCTCTTCTGCAGAGTCCATGTTCAGCTCCACCAAAGCTTTGTGAAATTGATCCATTTGACCATCTTCTAGAAGTTCCTACAGACAGGACACAACTAGTTACGATGAACAGTACAGGGTAATTGAAACATTCAACACTCTTTGCCTTCACTACTAAATATTACTGATGTGCAAAGTGTAAATTCTGCTGAAATGCACACAACAAAAGTACTCTCAGAACCTTGATACATCCCCTGCATAAATAACTTTTCAATTTTATGTTGCTAGCAACCTTAAGAAGCCATATGACCTCAGAAAACAGTTGGGACATTCACAGCTTATTCGCAGTGATGAAGGCAGAAGGTAGCTGTGACATTACCAGGCAGCTGGGACAGTCATATCTTCTTTACAGCACTACATGACCTCTCCAGTAAGGCTCTAAGTGCAGCCTGACCCCATCTCAAAAGGTGAAGGGGGAACTTAATGGTCACGACTACCTGAACATAGAGCAGCCTGTCCAGCCTCTCTTGGTCGAGCTGCAGCTTCTCCTCTCGCCGACGCGCGTTGAGCTCTTGAAGGCGACGCAGCTGCTGCTGCCGCCTCTCCTGCTTCTCCTCCGACGTCAGGGTGCTGCCCAGGAGCTTGTTGGAGAAAGGCAGCTGCATCTTGTGCATGTTGTTCTCATAGTACTCAGGGGAGCGCCACTTTTGTAGCTCTGAATGTTTTGAAAATAAAAATCACTGTTGTGCTAGGCTGAAAATAATGATTTTTATCTTGTAAGCATTCCACACAAGGCTCAGACTTTAAAGAAACAAGGGAACAGCCTAGGCTAGGATTCTGCCCACCTCTTGGCAATCATTCCCCAAATATAGCTTCCCTCAAAGCACTACCTGCTAACCACACACAAAGCAAATGTTTTAGGGCTCTGATCTCCAAAAAAGAAGAAACACAAACGACCAAGAGGTGTCTTCAAAGTACTTCTACCCACAGTAAGGGAGAGAGATTCCTCGCATATTTTTAAGAACTTCTGCATAGCCTCAGAGCAAAATGTTCTCTTCTTTAAATACTGTTTCATGTATGACAGATTTCAGGAAAAACAAACAACAGCACACATAACATGAAACATTAGAGGTCTTCTCTGTAGTTTTGAAAACTCCTGAAACCAATACGCTAGGAGTACAGGAAAGCAGAAAGTAAAAAAAAAGGTCTGAATCAGGAATGGCCCTGCCCAACGTTTTACTGGGAGTAGAGAATAAAGCAATTTAATAAGTTGGATTTTAAAATATTTTCCTTCAAAACAACCCCAATTATCATTCACAGAGGTATTTGCATTAATACAGAAAGGGCTTTTTAATTTCATTTTATTTCTAGCTTAACGCTATATTCTTCATTTTATGGTATTTTACGACAGAACTCTGAAACTGTGGTCAAGTTTTCCTTGTGCATTATCGGAAAAACAGTTGTAAAGCAAGAAGTATGTTAGCAGTCAAACTTACATATACCTATAAAGATACGCACACATATACGTAGACATATTAGCAGTCAATATATGTCAGCCAGAATTCGGCCAGTCTGAGAACAGGGGATGCCGAGGACAGAGTTGAGGTTGGATTAACGTTACCCAGTGACAAATTACAGCTGTCTTTACCTTCTATATAGTCCTCTGCAATGTAGCTATGCTCATGCAGTATTTCCTCCATACGGCTGAGAGTGATGGCAGCAAAATGTCCTGGGTATTTTAGCTGAAGGAGACGTTGCAGGTAGACAGCAGCTTGACACCCTCCAAGATTAATGCGCTTGCAGTTTTTAGCATCCAATCTGAAAACCCAAGAAAGAGAAGTGGGAGAGATTTACAAGTTAAGGGTAGAACATACCTTCTACTATATTCAGAACTACTTAATTTCTGATACAGTCAAGTGGAGAGAGGAATATTCTCAGGTAATTTCAAAATTTCGTTTACAAGAAGTTCTAACACCTCGGCTTCTCTCAGAGAAAAACCATAAGCACTGCTCTGATTTGTGAAGGTACTTCTTGAAAGGCTCTGTTCTGAGGAAAAAGCAAAACAGAAAATCTCTGGGGTAGGGGAGTATGGGAGGAGGTACAATGAAGAATTCAACTTCCCCTATAAAGAGCAAAGATTTAGCCAGAAATTCTATTTGCCATTACATTTGGAAAGGCTATCGGATGACAAAACTTTTAATTAAGACTTAAAACAGAGCCTATTCGTTTACAGTTTTATTAAAGCTTAATAATGACATCATTTAGGGAAACTTGGGACTAAATCTTAAAGAGTCTCTCAGCAGCATACAGAACACACAACTAACACTATAGTTGCACGTCACTGTGAATTACTTTTGGCCAAATTTAAGACCAGCTTGGGACTCCGTGGCCATAGAGGTGAAATAATTCTGGCCACTGTAAGCCAAAGGCTTTGTTCTATTTCAAGAAGTGAAGCAATGGTTGGCAGAGCCAAAAATTGGTTCCACTCACCCACGTGCCATTGCACAACTGGCCAGGTACAAGGCTAAAAATGTTGAGGCAACAGCCAGACAGCACAAAGCACCTCCTGCAGGAGCACTTCTGAAAGGGCACGTCAATACAGCAGCCTCGCCAGACCCGCGAACGCCTTGTAAGGACTGCACAGATCTCGCTCTCTTTTGTCCCAAAAGCTGCATTAAATACTTGGTTTTCATTTCTGATCTTATGTGGGGCACATAGACTCTTTTATTTTTGGAAATTTGAACGTCTGAATAACAACTAAAAAGCAATACACACACAGACAGCAGTACTTCAATCCCAAATTTGGTAGGCCTTAACAAGAGCTGCATACTTAGTTCTCTTCAGCATAGATGATAAGACCTGGTAGGAACTTCCAATTTAGAGGCCAGAATGCTAGAGGAATAGGAATTTTGAACACTAAAAAGTCAGTGGCAGAAATAAAAAGGTTGCACTTAACACACCAGGAACTCACCTGCCCTCTAAGACTGGCAAAATATGTGTACACTGATAACCTGAGGATATTATTAAACCACTGCAGGGCCAGTTCTGCCTTCTGTTGTGGTAGAAGCTGTACAAGCTGTCTACGCCGTAGGACACTTTTGGAACTTGGTAACATTCGAAGAGGAGCTCTGACATCATTTGCCTCGAGTAGAGTGGATTGCACACGGCTTCTGTCAGCACAATCGGATGATCAACACAGCCCTGGAGATACACAGGGGGGGGAAAAAACTGTATGAAAAGAAAAACGCAGAGATACTCATCCTTGCCTTTAAACATCAGTGATGATTCCCCCAGAACAGCAGGGAGAAGCTGCTTTATGGGTAAGCAAGTTAAATGGCATCTTATGTTTAAGAATAAAGAATCCTATAGCAGGATTCCCACCATTAATTTGATTAGGAAAGAAACTCCTACGGGGAGAAGATGGACTTTTAAGAAGCATTTGCAGAGGCTTCTAAAGTAAAGAAAGAAATACATTTTAAAAAAAAGGGGGGGCTAAGTAGCTGACCTGTGCAATGAAGAGCCTCAGTGCAGCTGGCAACTGCTGTTAGTTCAGTTCAGCCCGGGATGAAGCCTCCAACCTGGTATTACCTTGTAGATAAGGGACTCCAGAGCGGCTCCCAGCGCAGCTGCACGTACAAACCGTCCGGCCCACGGGATACGACTGGACTAAGCCCCGACCCGGCCGTTTCCAGCCCCCGACCCGGCCGTTTCCAGCCTCCCGAGCCGAGGGAGGCCCCGCGCGGTCCCGGCCCGCCGGCCCCGCGCTACCCGCGCG